CTACTCTGCCTAATGGGTCTGAGCTCTCTCCTCACAGCCCCCACATGCTCTTTCCATGGCATTAATATCCAAATAAATTCCTTACCCCAAATGGCAGTCTGCCTCAGTGTCTCCCTTGAGCCCAGTCCTCAAAAACTTTCAGTTACAAGATGCTGTCTGACTGGACATTGGGGGTGGGGGTGCTGCAGTCACAGCTCTGTTCTGAAGAGCTCACATCGGGAGAAATCAGATCCTGGGATTGCAGTTAAGCCTGCCAGCCTGAGTTTGATCCCCAGGACATACATGGTGGAATGAAAGAACTGGCTCTCATCTGGCGTCCTTTATACACATGTGGTAGCATGTAAACCCTCCCTTCCCACCCCACTAAATATAATTTTTAAAAAAATTAAATAGCAAGCCCCTATCTAGAAAAAAACATACAGACACAAAAGCAACAACAACAAGAAAAAACATTGGCTAGGGCCAAGCAGACAAGTAAACAGAGAAAGAGCATCTGCCCATGGAAGTGCTATGAAGGAAATAATACTGAGGTGCAGATGCCTTGAGGCCGGGGCCCTCCAGGGGGCAGTGGGCCCCTGTGGGGCTCACACTATCTGCTGAACAGACCCTGGAGTCTGTTAGCAGAGGTGGGCACCAAGCCCCTCTCACAGACCGGGAAGTGGGGGGGGGTGTTTGGACAGATGTGGGGCAGGGTTAGTTTGGGGATAGACTTGTCAGCAGCATCAGGAAGACACAGCCCAACACAGCTACCAGCCACCTAAAGGTTCCTTTGCCCCTAGACCTCCACATAGGTAAAGCAAGGTCCTCTCCTGCTTCTCAGAAAATATTTCCGAATGAGTCAGAGTGGAACAAAGCCAGTGAGTTTCAATATTGAGACAGTAAAAGTGAGGCAGGAGAGAAAGACAGGAAAGTGTGAGGCATGAGGAAAGAGGGGGCCCCTGTCCCTGTAACCTGGTTGAAGCCTCTCACCAGCAGAGAAGCAAGAATTCCAACGCAAGTAACTAATTATGGCCACTCTCGTTCCCCAGCTATGTAACCCTGTAATTTTCTAGGAATCTTATCAGAAACCCCCATTTCCAGGGAAAACACACACGCTGCACCCCTTCTATTGTCCTAGAGACTCCCGGTTTCAGCTAATCGGGTAATTCCATTCAAGGCACCTTTGGAGCCACCCTATAATCTCACTTATTAAAAAAAAAAAAAAAAAAAAAAAAAAAGATGGCTCAGTGGGTAAAGTGCTTCCTAATATGAAAATGATGAGGATCTGAGTTCAAATCTCCAGCACCCCCATACTAGCCCAGTAAGACAGCATGCCTCTAAAATCCCAATAATGGCACTGGCAGCAGGCAGACCCTGGCCCTGGAGTATCACTGGCCAGCCAGTCTAGTGCAATAGTTCTAGGTTCAGTGAGAAACAGTCTCAGAAAACAAGGTGGGGTGCTGGAAAGATAAGTCAGTGGTTAGAGCAGAGAATCCAAGTCCAGTTCCCAGCGCCCACAGGGTGGCTCCCAGCCATCTGTAATTGCAATTCCTGGAGATCCAATGCTTTCTTCTGAGGTCTGCACACATGTGGTACATAGACATACATGCAGGCAAAACATTTGTGGTGATATATTATTTATGATTTAATAAAGCTACTGGAGAACAAAATGCAAAGCTAGCCACAGTCATAGCCACAGAGCCAGGTACTGGTGACACACACAGACCTTCACTCCCAGCAGCCATACTAGCTAGCCATAGAGGCCCAGCAGCGGTGGCACACAGCTTTAATCCCAGGACTCAGGAGACAGCCAGACAGATCTCTGTTAGTTCAAGGCCACACTAAGCTACATAAAATTAATCCGGTCTAAAAGAGAAACAGCTCACACTAAGGTGGTCTCAGCCCTTGGGATCACACACCTTTAATCCCAGCATTTGGAGGGTGAAGACAGGAGTGATGTGGCTGGGTGAACAGAGGAATATAAGGCAGGAGAAGACAGGATCTAAGAGGACTGCAGTCTGCATTGCACTCTGAGGATTCATGGAGACAGGATCAACCATTTCAGTCTGAGGTAGAGATAAGAGCTAGTGGCTGTCTGCTTTGCATTTCCGACCTTAGGTTTGAACCCCAATATCTGTCTCTGGGTTTTTATTATTTGTGTTACAAACATTTATATACACAAAGTAAAATATCTTTAACAAATAAGATGGAGAGTGATGGAGAAGGATACCTACTTCTTTCTCTGCACATGCAGGGCTGAGCGTGTCCTCATGCGCATGGAGGAAGGGAAAGAGGGTTTCTTAGCCATCTTTTGAGATGTAACTTGAGAGCTACCAAATGGTACACACAGTTAATGATTACTAGGAGAACTCATCTTGGCTTCCTTACCGAAGCTCACATTCTAGTCTCCGGCATGCTTTCATTCTTTTGAGCATTCTTCTAATGATCTCCAGTTCTACTTCATAGTGTCTAATCCTGAAATTCTCTTCTACACCAAAACCAAAAATTAGTTGGTCCTGAGTAGAGATCCCTAAAAAAATTAAGGGAAGGAGTGTGATGGTGTGGAGCTGTATCTGTGTCCCTTTACCACTAACCTAAGGGTAATTAATACACAATTCCAAGACAAGGGTATGTGAAGGAAAAAAGTGGGGAAGGGAAGAGAAGGGGAGTGTGAAAGAGGGAAGGAAAGGAACAGGAAGGGTTAAGGGGAGGGGAATGGGTGGGAGATGTCTGGGTAAGAGCTCTGCTGTTGCTCAAGCAGGAGTAGCTGACTGCCAATCCCTGGTGCCCAGATAGGTCTGTCTGTGAACATCTGTAACTCAAGTATGGCCAAGGCAGAAAGAAAAGCAGATGCCTGGGGCTTGCCGGCCAGCCAGGCTAGCTGAATTGGGGAGCTCAAGTTTCAGTGGGAGACCATGTCTAAGAAGAAAAGGTACAGAGTGACCAAGAAAGACACCCAAGCCATGTGCACACACACACACACACACACACACACACACACGCACACAAACACACACACACACACACACACACGTCACACACGCGCGCGAAATCATACTCAAAGTGTCTATAACTACTAAGTTACATCCCTCAGAGGATATAATTTACAATACAGTGTAAAGATTTAAGCAAAGCGTAAAATGCAAGTAAAGTTTAAAAGTGGGGTAAAAATATATGATCTGGCTCACTTTTTAAAACTTAAATAATTTTCCTTTTGTGTCAAGTGGTGGTGCCACACAACTTTAATCCCGTACTTGGAAGGTAGAGACAGGTGGATTTCTGTGAGTTCAAGGCCAGCCTGATCTACAAAGCTAGCTCCTGGACAGCCAGGACTACAGGAGAAACCCTATCTCCAAAAAAAAAAAAAAAAAAAACAAAACAAAAAACAAAAATCCTTTTGTAAAAGAAATAGTGTTTTTATGAAATGCATTCTTTAATGTTAGGGACAAGGGAACTGCTAACATGATAAAAACTCAGTTACAAGTATTCTGTCCCAAACTAATTACAGTTCATTTATGTTCTGATGTCTTAGGAAAACCATATTTCTAAGAGCAATTTGCATTTAACAGTTGCATTAATGTTTCTTGACTCTTAGCAAGAAAAACAAGATCCAAGAGTAAGGGGCTCTTCCTTTCCCTGTCTATCCTACCTCAGATGGACAGGAACAAATAGACTGGACAGGATGGAGTCAAACACAAATCAGTCCTTCTGCCTAAAGCTCTAAGTGAGCCAGCCTGTGGGCAGCACCCTAGTGCACAGGACTGGAGGAAGCTTCTGCTTGGGGGGAGATAGGAGTGGGTGTCAGCTGAAGCCTCCCCAAACACAGATTGTGTCTCAATGAGACTGGGCCTTCTGACAACTAAGGGGCAACTCAGGCTCTGATCTCTGCTAAAGCATGGCCAACTTCCTGATGCTCCTGACCCCCCTCCTTTGATGGGGTGTGTTGTGGGATATTTGTGAAGATACATTGCTGTGATTGGTGTATTAAAAAGCTGAACATCCATTAGCTAGGCAGGAGGTAGAGGTGGACTTGGGGACCGGGACAGGAAGTAGGAGAGGGAACTGAGGTGTGTGAAGTGGACTAGAGGAGACACAGGAAGCAGGGTGGGTGGTAAGTGACAGAATATAGATGAACAGAAATGGGTTGATTTAAGTTATAAGAGCTAGTTAATAACAAGCCTAAACTGAGGCCACACTTTCATAATTAGAAAGTTTCTGTGTCTTTATTTGTCAGCTGGAGGCCCAAAGAAAAATGACTACAGGTCTGAGGGAGGGAGGCAGGTGGACCCAGTTATTTCAAAGGCATCTCGGATGGCCAGGAATCTTGGGTTTCCCTTCCCCGTTCATGAGGCCAGTGGAGTGAGTCAAGGCCTTCCTGATCTACAGGCGAAGGTTCCCTTCACTCAAGGCCAGGGAACTGCTGACACCTATCCCAAAAGCTAGCATGGACTCTAAGTGGTATCTACTGTGTCCTTCACAGACAGGCCACTGCCTTCTCCACTGTTGTCCTTGGGTTTTTGTTTGTTTTTTTTGGGGGGGTGTTTGTTTTTCGAGACAGGGTTTGGGACCTATCCTGGAACTTGCTCTGTAGACCAGGCTGGTCTCAAATTCAGAGAGATCTGCCTGCCTCCCAAGTGCCACCTCATCCTACAGTGTTCGACTCCCAAAAGCCACTCCCTTGCCACACCTGCTCAGAGACATGCCCCATGGGCTCATAATCTCACACTTGTCTATCCTGGAGCCCCATTTGTTTTTTAGGGGATCAGGAGCAGCTACTTGGGTATCACAAAATGGAGTACTTGGAGCCAGGGAACGGTGAGGCAGTGCCTGAGGAAAGGCCCTATGGCCTTGGGATGCCTGGTGCCCAAAGCCCAGCAAGCCACCTCAGGGCACCCGCCTTCTGCTATTCCATTAGGAGCCAGAGCAGACCCCACCCCCACCCCCACCCCAGAACCGTCTAGTTCTTCGCATTGCTCCCGACGGCCGCGTGAGGGCGTACCCTGTGTTAGTTCGTACAAATTAAAGCCCTTCCTGCGGGTAGGCCTGTGGTCCCCTGGGCCCAGACCTAACTCGGGTGCCTGAGGAACACCCTTAGCTGTCGCTTGCAAAGCTCTGGGCCTTGAGGTCTCGCCCCAGGCCCGCGATAATCGTTCCCAAATCGGTCGCCCCCCTCCTCCACGCTCGTGTAGCCTGGGGTACACACCTCTGTACCCCTTCGCCGAGCCCCTCCTAGGTGCAAGCTGACTCTGCGCCGCGGAGCGGGCTCGGACCCTGGTCAGAGCACACTGCTGAGGGTGCACCCGCGCCCGGAAGCCCCGGGCGGAGGAGCCAGCGTCCGCGGAAAGCACTCCAAGAAGCACAAGTTGGCGCTGGCCGGGGACCAGGCTGTTGTTGTTCTCAACGTGGTCCGCCACGGGGAAATAAAAGCGGAGTCAGGCGCGCTCTCCGCCAGAGTGCCGCGCGCGCGCCCAGAGCTCCGGAGCCGGTGCAGCCCCGCCGCGCTCCCCGCAGGCTGTCGGCATCCCACCCCCGAGCCCCGCTGCGGCCAGACCGGCCCCCACCCTCGCCCCAGCCCTGCCGCCCGGTCCTAGGCCCGGCCGCGGCCGCTCCCGCCTGGAGCCGCCGCGCGCCCCCAGCCCCCCGGCGCCGCCGAGGCCCCTCGCCTTCCTCTTTCCGGCGCGGCCCCCAGGCTACCGCGCGCCGCCTGCCACCAACCCGCTGGCCACCATGTCTGTGGAGCTTGAGGAGGCCCTGCCGCCGACGAGCGCCGACGGGACGGCCCGCAAGACAGCCAAAGCCAGCGGCCCTGCGGCGCCCGCGCAGCCCAAGAGGAAGAAGAACCGCAAGAAGAACCAGCCGGGCAAGTACAGCCAGCTGGTGGTGGAGACCATCCGCAGGCTGGGTGAGCGCGGCGGCTCCTCTCTGGCGCGCATCTACGCCGAGGCCAGGAAGGTGGCGTGGTTTGACCAGCAGAACGGGCGCACCTACCTCAAATACTCGATCCGGGCGCTGGTGCAGAACGACACGCTGCTGCAGGTAAAGGGCACCGGCGCCAACGGCTCCTTCAAGCTAAACCGCAAGAAGCTGGAGGGCGGCGCGGATCGGCGCGGAGCCTCGGCGACCAGCAGCCCCGTGCCCAAGGCGCGCACGGCGGCGGACAGGACGCCGGCCAGGCCGCAGACGGAGCGGCGTGCGCAAAAGGCCAAGAAGGCGGCGGCTGCCGGCGCGAAGAAGGTGAAGAAGGCGGCCAAACCCAGTGTGCCCAAGGTGCCCAAGGGCCGCAAGTGACACCCCACTGTCTGGCGACGTTGTCAAGTTTTCCGTCTCAACCCCGCGGTGTACCGGTTTCGTACGGTTCGGCCTGGCCCAGGTCCCCACTCCCTGTCCCTTTCCCTTTCCCGCCCCTCCCCCAGCGATGCTGCATTCTGTTTGCTTTAGGTTTTTGAAACGGCCCTGGCGACGCCTCCATTGGCTCTCACCCTTGGCAACGGCCGTCGTCATGGTTACCGGCCCAGCGGCGCCAATGGCCTGGCGGCGCCTGCCTGCCTTGCCCGCCGCTGGCCACCCCGCGCTCCGGTTGTGCGGCGTCTATCTCCGCCTGCCGCACTCCTGGGGATCAATAAACGGTTCCAACTTTGACCCTTTGTCGCTGTCTTGTGGGCGCTAGAGGCTGCGTGGTAGGGGATGGCGGGTGGTCGAGGTTCCAAATCTCAGCTAGGCAACTAGCAGGCCTCGACTGCAGAAGTGGGACAGGTGTGCCCTTAAACAACTGACCAGCACCTACAAGAAAGGTTAAGAGAGTGGGTACCCAGCCTTGGGTCACTGCACTGTCCAGCATATACAGGACAGCTGTCCACATATTGGGGATTAGACCTCAGGATCTGGTCTAACAAAAGACAATTTTACCAAATGGAAGAACTGCAAAGTTCTAGAACAGTATGTACACATACAACTTGGTGAGCTGGGACCAGGGTAGGTGAGATAACATGGTGCTGTTTCCTTGGATCTTTTTTTTTTTTTTTTTTTAAAGTGGCGAAGGGCCTTGGGGCAGTGGCTGAGGGTGGGAAGAGACCAGCATTTCTTGGCAGATGTGAGCCACCTGAACAAAGGTCACAGCCTCTTGAAGTCTCTGGTACCTGCCTGGAGGTTCCCTGAAAAAGGCATGGCCAGCTACCATGTTGAACTGGGCTCTACCACCCACAAGCTGGCCAGTGAAGTGAGTTAATGACTCCCAGATGGCTCAACCCCTTTCCACAGGGTCATTATTGGGGTTGGGTAAGAAACAGCCTTGCCCAGCTCCATGGGTATTTTGAAGATTTCCTGCAGGCTAAGGGTGACTTGCTGGCCTGAGTGATCCCAGTACTCAGCAGCCAGCTTTTATCAGAATGCCTGGTGAAATCTAACCTGTCTCCTGCCCACCCCTTGGTGCATTTCAAGTTGTCATTGTCTGCATAACTCCTAACTCTGCACAACTGCCTTCCAGGGCCTTACCTTACATGCTGCTGCCTGTTGTCCATCCCCTGTAGTTCATCCTATTCCTTGCAGATGTTGGTTCTTGGCTTCCCAGTTCCACCTGTGCACAAATGTAGGCCCTCCTAGTCACTGAAGCACCCAGAGTACTCCTCAATAGGTGTCTTAGGTTTTCTACTGCTGTGATGAAACACCATGACTAAAAGCAATTTGGGGAAGACAGGGTGTATTTGACTTCCATATCCTAAGTCACAATCTATTGAGGGAAACCAAGGCAGGAACTCAGAGCAGGAACCTAGAGGCAGCAGCTAATGCAGAGGCCACGAAGGACTGTTGCTTACTGGCTTACTCCTCATGGCTTGCTCAGTCTGCTTTCTTATAGAACTCAGTACTGCTAGCCCCTGGTGATACCACCCTATAGGCTTGCCTACAACCTCATATTATGGGGGCGTTTTCTTTATTGAGTCACCCTCTCAGATGACTCTAGCTCCTGTCAAGTTGATATGAAAGTATCCAGCATAGCAGGTCAGGGTCCCTATATTTTAAGCAGCCTCTGGGGACCAAGCACGCACTACTGTCCCATTACTGGGATGGGGGAATACTGGCCCCCTCCAGCCCCAGTGGTAGTCACGTGACCCAAGACCTGGCCAATGAGTGCTTAAGTTAACTAACTTGGCTTCAGTGGTTGAGACAGAGATGGGCTCAATGCCAAACAATGGAAGGGCTTCTCTGGGCACTGCTGAAGGCAGTTGCTCTTTCCTCAGAACCACTAAGTTGCAGGAATAGAATTGCCAGAATTGCCAGTGGGAGAGGCTTCCTGGAAAGGAATCAAGCTGGGGGCTGGAAGTGGACACCTGGCTAAAGCCCTGAATGGAGAGCTCTGAAGCCTGACCACCTAGGGCTGCCCCATTGCTCTATGGAGAAGCCTGTTGGAGTTGGGTCTCTGTCAGATGCATCCTGGCCTCCAAACTCCTTGATTACCCTTTCCCTCCACATCCCTGGACTTAGTCTGTTCTTCAAGTGGTTGTTCCTCCAAACTGTCTGTCCAGGGTCCCTAATCCCTCCCTATCTGCTCATCCACAGTCACCTCTTGGGCTTGCTGACTTTGTTATATCCATGCTGAGTTCACCCAAATAAACTTTAAAAAGAAAGAAAGGCATCCCAAGTTAAAGCTATCTGGTCCTAGCCAGTCACTCCTGACTGTTTGCAGGGGCCAGGAGCTGGGAGGAGGGCTTCTCTGGCCTCCTCCCACTCAGAGAAGAATATGGGCAAAAGATGACTTAACTGATACAACTGTTGAGTCACTGGGAGGTGACACAGTCAGCCAATGTCCAGGTTGGAACCCTTGTCCCTCTTGACATTATATTTTTCTCCTGAACTGAGTTAGGAAGTCTAGGATCTATTTCCTTACTATGTCCTGATCTTGGCCCTAGTGGCCCTGGATTCTAGTTGAATGCAGAGGACACCTGGCTAAGGGAAAAGGCTTTCTGGGAGAGGTAGCCCAATACAGCCAGAAGGCAGAGGACTTATCCATAAGGCATGCCAGGCATGATTGCTGCCTCTCTGCACCTACTAATGGCAAGTGCTGGGTGGAAGGTGAGAATCAGGGTGCTGGACCCAGCTGGCTTCATGGGGCTTTTGGTTGAAGAACAAATGTTCTCTTCAAGACAGAGTTTTCTCACAGAGTCAAGCCTGATTTATTTGTGACCATGCACCTGCAAACAGGCTGCCAGCTTGTGAGCTCCCAGGTGTCAGGTCTGCTTTAGGGGTCTCTAGGTCTGCCTTTTTCCTGGCCTTGGAGCAGTTCTGCAGACACCATTGTGACCACAGGCCAAGGTCTCCATTAAGGAGGGTCTCCATTAAGCAGGTGGATAGGGCTTGGCTAAAAAAAGGTCTGAGGCTCAATGAATCAGTCCATATGTGTATCGTTCTTCTCATGACCTTTTATTCTTCAAAGGGAGTTCTTCCCAAAAGCTCTCTCTCAAAAGGCTCTCTTTAGGATTTCTCCTCAAAAGTTCTTTCTCTGAAAGCTCGCTTAAAGTTGTCTTTAGATGTTCTCCTTAAAAATTCTCTAAAAGTTTTTATCCCACAAGGTTTCAAGTTTATATACCCACAGAAACAATTAGCAATTCTCTGACAACGGCAAAGATACCAGGCATGCACATCTCTCAGAGCCAGGAAGGCAGATAAGTTCTTGGTAAAAGCAAGGAGATATGACTTGTAAAACTTTGGGCAAACTTAAGTCTAAGAGGGGACATGACTTGTAAAACCTGTGGGCAAACCTAAGAGGTAGGAGAGGGTTAAATGAGGCAAGTAGGTAAAACTACATTTATGTGGCTAGTTAATCTAGAAGTCTATAATTGATAAATGTAAAACAAGGAAGAAACACTAGAAGTTTATAATTGATAGATGTAAAAATGTATGTACTGGGTTTTGCTTTTGCTTTCATGGTAGCTGGAAACACAGCATCAAGGTAGTCATGGCAACTTGCACAAGCTGTGGAAGGAAAATGGGCCTTTGATCTGTATTAGCATTTTCTACCAGCACTAGATGAAAGTGAGGGCCTATGTGAGATGGAGGCTGCAGCTTTTACCACCCTGGTAGGAAGGCATTTCCTTCCTCTGGGACCTTTTTGAAAATATAAAGCACCCAGTGTATTTTCTCCATCAGAAGTTAATTCTGGTGGGTTGATACCTAGAATATTGATTGCTACTTCTGTAATAAATGATAAAGGCTCTCACCATCTAACCTTTTTTAAGTTCATTTTTTAAAAGTGTGCAGATCTTTATCTTTGGGCAGCATAAACTGTGGATAAATATGAAGATGGTTTAAAGTAAACAATTGATTAATACACTGCTGGAGGTTTTTTTTTTTTTTGAGGGGGGGAGGAATCCCACAATAGAAAAGGGAAGTGCTATGACTTCATAAAGATTCTACAGAGATGACAGTAACTATTCAAAAGGCAGGTTTCCTCCAAAGGAACGCATGATGATCCTGATGGGTCAGCCTAGTGATTTTGTAAACTGAGATCTCATTGTGCAATCCCTGTGGCCTGTAGCACTCCATGTCTGGATCAGTCTGTGCCTCTGCCAGGTATGGCTCAGAGCTGAGCCTGGGCTATGGGAGGGGTGATGCTGCAGACCTTGTGTCATGTGCCCAGTAAAGGAGTTTTGTATGATGTAGTGCATATTAGACATTCTGGCCTTTCCACCACTCCTGAGGCAACAATGTGGCTCTGGTTCTGTTTGTTTGTTTTTTGAGAGGTTTTCTCTCTCTGTGTAACAGTCCTGGCTGTCCTAGAACTCCCTTTGTACTCAATGAGATCTGCCTGCCTCTGTCTCCAAAGTTCTAGGAAAAAAGGTGTGCACCCCCCCACCCACCCCACCCCCCCCCACCCCCCCACCCCCCGCTTGTGGCTCTGATTCTTAACAACAACTGCCATTCTGGCCACTTGTCACAAGATGGAGGCTGCAAAGACTGGTGGATGTATTTAAGAACAAAATAAGATCTCATGTGTCAAGAGCCGCATCTGTAGTCCTTCACTCAGCACTTACTGGATGACTCTTCTGGACAGTGTCTGGCTGGGGACAGCCCAGAGAAACCAACCTTCTTGGTAGGGACCATGAAGCCTAGAGACTCAGGACTAGCCCAGGCCTGAGGTCTGGAAGTTGCTTCTGGAGAGTGAGTAGCAGCAGCAGAAGCCAGCAGAACCCAGGTTCCTGGGTCAACCAGAGCTCAACAGCAGAAGCAGAGGGCATCCAGGAGCAAATGTAGGTGTCTGACATATTATGGACATTCTGCAAGGATGTCTTCATGACAGTTGGAACTTTAAGCTACAGCAGGCAACAACCCCACTACCTGAGATGGACTCCTGTCATGTCATGAGAGCATGTTGGAAAAGTCAAGACTCTTGTTGACTGTTCCAAGTGATGAGGCTGGGGAGAATGGCATCATGCTCTGGACCTCAGGCAAGTAAGCAGATAAGCAAATGGCATGGCCAGATTCCTTCTGAATCTGGCAGGAATCTGCCTACTAGCCCACCTTGACAGAAATAGGAAAACACGGTTGTTCCAGGGACTAAAAAAATGAAGTGTGTGGAATGAAGGGAAGGGTTAGTCAGGGTTCTCTAGAGGAACATAACTTATAGAATGAATGTATATATAGAGAAG